AAAAAAAAAAAAAAAAAAAAAACTATGTGCACAAGTATATTCAATACAATTCCATTATAAGCGTTTATCAGTTGTTAGAAAGCTACTTATCCTATAACCACAAAATGAACATCATTGCAAACTTGTGTGAACTTCCAATCCCCCTTTAAAAGTATACTCCTTCCCTATCATCCGTCATTCACATAACTCTAGTGTTCACCGAAGCAATCTTTGTACTTCGTATTAAAAAGTGACATAGCACCAATTAAGCACTCCCTAGTCTCAACAGCCAACATTCTAAAATACAGACTGCCAATTCAACGTGCCGGTGCCAAGCAACTCTTCAACCAAGTAATCAAATTGATAGTTCATCAGACCCTTTCAAGAGCCATACACAATTAAGCTAAAGATAGAATTACATAAAAGAATTAAATTACAGACAATATTTATATGATAGTGTACTTTTTACATCCCTTTGTTGCAAATATGAAATGGAGATAGTAGTAGAAAATACATCCCTAGTGGAATCTCGCCCTAAAACATTCTTTTGGATGATAAAGAGAAAACAATCAATTAATAAGAACCAATACGTCATACACGGGATGATGGTTTCTACTTATCTGTTATGTGAGCTGTACACTATGTTATTATAATCCAAACACTTGTAATTTACTCATAAGTAATACAGTCATCTGTCACAAAATGTACTGAGTACATGTGATCTGCTAGAAGCCTATCAGTTTTGTCAAATATTCGTAGGTAGAAGCACATCTTATATAATTAAAGTTAGATTTGGAGCTATCTGAAATGGTCATAGATATTTCACATAACAGACCAAAACATGATTACTCAATATAAATTATAAAAGCAGTCAACTTTGACCAGCTAATTAAATGCATGATGCAAGAGAAAAAATTATTGATGCTAAAAGATGATGTCTAATGCACCAAAATTATGGTCTAAACACTCCAAGTCTATGAATTTCGCGGAAAATCTTCATCAGAATCTGCCTACGACTGTTACAGCAACGTTTGATTAAAGAAATGATATACTAAGTACATGTACAATGGTTTAAGTATTTTGACAACCTTATGACGCTGTTACATATTATTTCAACCAACCATGCACAGATGACGAACATTTTCAATAATCTATGCTTAATGATGTTGATTAGTCAACAGTGAGAATGATTACAATGACAGCAGCTTAATTCTGACTATTCTGGAGGTTGCCTTTTGGACTATGAATATTCTGACTTTTCGGCTCTTTTTGGATCTTTGTATGCTTGCCTTGATTGCGTGCATACATATCAAATCATACATTGTTCAAATGTCACATCCTTGCAGAGCCAATTACATGTAAGATTCTTCCTTGATTTCCATATTATCTGACCATTTAACTAATTATTACGTACTCAGCATTATCTGTCAGAGAACATGAATACGGCAGTGTTACACTTCACAAATCAATATGAAACATAAATATTTGCGCGTAAAACTTAGAAGTCAATCATTTGAGAATGAAGAATATTTCAGAAACTCTGCAGTTTAATGACATACTCTGCAGTTTAATGACATACTCTGTATGTCTGTAATTAGTTTCAGAAATTTCTTTCTACCTGCATTTATGTTATTACACTGAAGGCACATACATTAGATGGTCTGAGAACATGAATATGACAGTATATCTCCATACAATTTTGTTTTTTGGGAGAACATACTATATATATCTACTGACTACTACAAAGTATTAAAGTGTAGGTGTCATACTGAAACTGTAGGACGAGGTTTGGGACTGTGACCTCAGGGAGCCAGCATACGAGGAGGTGGGAGCGAGTGAGGAGATGCGAGAAATTTGTAGTGATTCAACCGTTCCCTCTAGCATGTCGACCACTTGGCTCATCTCTGGCCGACTTGATGGGTTAGTCTTAACACAACATAAGCTCACCAAAATCATCTTCTTTTGAATATCCTTCTCATCAGAACTCAACATCACTTGGTCATCCAATGCTTCTTCCCCTAATTCGAGTTTCTGATATATCCATTGAGGGAAATATTGTTCGCTATTGCATTCAATGCCTTCAACATCATTTTTTCTTCGACATCCAACCATTTCTAGAACCAACATTCCGTAGCTATAAACATCTGATTTGTAGGAAACGCCACCAAAACTCCTTAAAAATACCTCAGGAGCAATGTATCCCACAGTTCCTCTGGCTTCAGATATCGATATAAGGCTCTCCTTCTGGGGGCATAGCTTAGCAAGGCCAAAATCAGATATCTTTGGACATAAATTTTCGTCTAGGAGAATATTGTGTGGTTTAATGTCAAAATGAAGGATTCTTGTGTTACAACCTCGATGCAAGTACTCCAGCCCTCTTGCAGTTCCAACCGCGATTTGAAATAATTCTTCCCATGTCAGAGTGTGGTGGCTGTTTTTTCCATAAAGGTTCTTCTCAAGTGATCCATTAGGCATGAAGTCATACACAAGAGCTTGGTGTCGACCTTCATAGCAAAAACCCAAGAGACTGACAATGTTTATATGGTTGGTCTTTCCTATACTAGCAACCTCATTTATAAAATCCTCTGCATTTCCTTTTGATTTTTTCAACATCTTTACTGCAACAAGACGCTCAGTGTTCGGAACCTTTCCTTTGTAGACAATACCAAAGCCTCCTTCACCTAACTTATCTCTGAAAGAATTGGTTATTTTCTTCAGATCAGAATATGTGTGTCTTTGTAGACCAACTGTTCCATGAATCTTTAGAAAAGCCTCAACATCTGGCTTCTTTTTTTGCTGAGGATCCTCGTCTTTTGATGAACATCTTTTTCTTAAACTGAAGACTAATAAAATGATAATTCCTATCCCAACAGCTGAGAAAGAAGCTGCAAGGCAATCAAGTAAAACATGTTATTATGAGATCATCTTACCTTAGACTCGTTCAATCTGCAATCTTCATATGTAAGAAAAAATTGAAATATGAAGAACAAAGGTGAAACGAACATTTTGGTACATCAGTACCATTACCTATTAGCGCAATCTTGGACTTGGTTAGAATGACCTTGTACGGAGTGGATCCTGTTTTCAAGATTCGGTTAGAGATATAAACTAGATTTCAGATAAATAAGTCTAATTATTAGGTGCATCTACGAGTATCATTTCTCGAATATACCTGGGAAAGGGCACTTGGATTCATCACTGCAGAAGCAAAAGAACTTGTTTGAACGCGGCTCATGTCCACACTGCCCTCCTGATTGGAGGCATGCTTCACACGAACCACTATTCGCGTTCCATTTAAGCTCGAAACCATTCCAAGCAGCATTAGGTATGTAACCACCTATCTGATCCATAGCCAAATTGTCATCCATATGAATTGGAAGAAAAAGATGGTTAGGACATGAAGATACCGAGATACTATTATTCAACATGGCATTCTTAGTCAACCAACAAACCGGTACATTCGTGGGATTCATAGGACACGAAAACTCTTTGAACGTCTTAGTAGAATTACACAACGTCGAACAATTACCATAAAACAAGGTAAGGTTGGCATCGCGAGGTGTATATTGAAAAATCGAGAAGTCTATTGTAATGTTTTGTAAGGAGTCAGGGCACCCTGACTTTGCTTTAAAATCATGCCTAGCAACTGTTAGTTGATGTTGTGTAATTAACGTTCATAACATCAAAAGTTTGCGACTTCATCGTCATTGTAACGGGTGTGGCAATTTGATCGCAGCCTAAGAGCTTAAACCCGGGGTGACCACAATATGAAGGTCGGTCCAAACCATAGAAAGGGTAGCTTAATGTTATGCTACCACAATTGACTGACTGGCTACATGTTTTGAACTCTTTGCTAACGCGGCAAAGAGATGTTGGAAGGTTTGTTAATAATGCAAAATTGAAGAAGATACATGAAAATGAGATTAAGTAATTCATACTGTATGTATGTGTGTTTGAAGATAGAAAGAAAGGGAAAAGATAGAATTTGAGGAATATAGTTTTTATTCAAATGTGATATTTGTAAGCAATGACATCAAATGTAGAGGAATATAGTGATTATATGGTCAACGTCAAGTAGTAGGAATATATTAACTTAATTATATGGCCTTGAGGCTGGCAGTAGGGTCGAGGCACTAGGAAAAAGTTTGGCAACTAGCCAACTACCCAAAAATCTAAAATAATCTTAGTTCCAAGGTAGAAAATGAAGCGCGGAGGTTATATTATATTTTTTCTTTGTTTTAAATTAGATGATACACTTTGACTTTAGATACTATTTACATAATTTGTTTAAATTTTGTTTAGTGATTTTTTATTGAGAAAAAGTATAATCATATGAGGTCATATTAAATTTGTCTTAACATCTATTTTCAAATATCAAATTTTTATAATTTTTGCTAATAATTAATCACATATATATGCAATAAAAAGTATATGCTGACAAACATGCCTAAATAAAATGTGTCACCTAATATAAAACGGAGAAAATATATATACATTATACACACTGATGAAGCTAGGTGGGGACAAGGGGGGCTACATAATGTTAAACAAAAAAACGATAGTTTACCGGTTAGTCTTTACAAGAGTTATATGTGGTCACATGTTCATACATAATTACATATGGGTTTTTTTTTTCCGATCCCCTTCCTTCACTATGTAATTTTAATTATTTTATACAACACCCAAAAGTAATTGCTTCTTTTCCGAGCCCTATTAATTCAAGTAAGACTAGTACTATTTAATGAAATCATGTTCTAACTTCTAAATTACCTTAGCAATTTACATAAATTTTTTAATAATTGCTCAAATTGCAACCCCAAATTGTTGGTTGTAGTAGGGATTTTGGGCAAAGGTAATTGATTTTATTATATATCTCAATATCAATATAAACTCAATATAAATTAAATTGACAAAGGGTTTTTGTCAAATTATGAAATGTTCTTAATCCACCCCCCCACGACGAAAGTCCTGGCTCCGTCACTTTATGTAATATAAATTAAATTGACAAAGTGTATTTTGACAAGTTCAGAATAACAACAAAAATGCCTTCCTAAGTAGATGATGCTTATATTTAATTGTCTGGTACATTGAAATAATTATATAAATATAAAACCTTCAACATTTGCTTACATCACCATAGAATTTCAAGGACATTTCTTTTTTTCCAATTTTCTGACTTCATTTGGGAGGATGCTTTTGTTAACTTGACTTATTTCATTGATTATTCTTTAAGGGCCAACTTTAAGAAATTGTAGTTCTCCTTGAATAAGTTATCAACTAAGGCCAACAAAATTGAAACTCTTTCTACTTTTCTCCATTAAACCTTCTCTAAAACTCAGAAAGATGAAGCTCTCTTTTCAATCATCTTTCTTCCTCATGATCATCATCTTCCTCTTGATCCTACTCCATGTGTCTGTCGAGGCTAACAAATACAAAGAATGCAAAAGTCTCATTCAGTGTGGAGGTTTAAGCGACATAGGCTACCCTTTCTATGACGAAAAAACCCGCCCAGACTATTGTGGCTATCCTGGCTTTAAGCTTGACTGCGACAATGAATATGGTGGTATTCCAGAAATTTCAGTGACTCAGTCATTAGAGAAACATCGTCTTCTAAATATAAATACAAGTTCACATACAATCTCTGTTACTCCAAAAGAATTCTGGAATACTTCCTGCCCGGATACGGATAATTTGTTCAATACCACCTTAAACTACACCCTTTACAAGTACACAGATGAAGTTGCAAATTTTACCTTCTACTATGATTGTCCTACTCCATTTCCTGTTATGTCATCCCCAGGTTCAGCAACTCCGTATGATTGTCTGAACATAAATTATAGTTTTCCTGTAGTTTACTTTAAGATCGGTGATAATTATATCCCACAAATTCCATGCCAAAGCAATATCATTGTCCCATTATTCCATCAATCTCGAGATATTTTGAAAGATTCAGACAGCGTAAAGAGTGCCTTTGAAAAAGGCTTCGAATTAGAGTGGATAGCTGACAACGGAAAATGTGATGATTGCCAAAAATCAGGTGGGGAGTGCGGGTATGATTTTAGCCAGAGAAATTTCACTTGCTATCACGGTATGAGTCCTTTCGCTTTCATTTGGTTATCCTAAATCTTCTGAATGACTTGGATTAAACCTTTGATTATTGTCTGTTATTTGATGATCTGCTGTTTTAAGCCTTAAATAATTGGGAAATTTTCTTTGATGACACCATATGTTTTTTATTATTTCACTGGTAAAAAATGAAAATTTTGAACACTATATTATTGTATTAAGTTATTTATGACATTAATGATTAATTTTTATTAAATTTTTATCTATAGTTAGAGGTTTTTGGTTAATTATTTAATTGTTTAACAATTAGGGGCCGTTTGGTTCGCACAGTGGAATCGGAATGGAATGGAGAAAGGGTATGAAAGAGAATGGAATGAATCCCTTTCCATTTAGCATGTTGTTTGTTTTATAAAAAATACAAGGGAATCACCTCCACCATAGCACCACAACATCCACCATAGCACCACCATAGCAACACTCTTTTTCTTCAATTCCCAACCATCCTACAGTTCAACCACCACCTTGCCGCCCCTCAACCTCCTTCCTCCGACCTCGTCGCCCCTCACCCTCCTTCCTAGCGGCTAGGGTTTCGAGGGTGGGGGGAGGGACGGCCGACGGTTTTAAGGGAAGGGGGAGGGTTTTTTAGGGTTATTCGAGGGTGGGGGGACCTTTTTTCGAAGAGGGGAGATGTTTCCGGGGGTAAGGGGTGGGTGGGGGAGGTGCGCGGTGTTCCAGTGAAGGGTGTGGGAGATGCGGCGCTTGCCGGCGGAGGGGCGGCGCTGGCTGGGGGAGGGGTGGCGTGGTGGCTGAGTGGTGGTTGTGCTGTAGAAGGTTGCTAGCTAGGGTGGATATGGTGGTAGGTATGGTGGCTAGGGAAAGGGAATGGAAAAGTCTAGGGGGGATGGGGAATCACTTTAGAGGAAAAATGGGTAACGTTAATAATGAAAGAGGGTAAAGGGAATGATTGATAGTAACAAACAAACAACAACAAAGGGAATGGGGCATGTTCATTCCCTTTCCCTTTGATTATTACCCCCAACCAAACGGCCCCTTAAAGTATCACAAAGATTATTTTACTTTATTTTTAAAAAAAAAAAACCCAACCCCTTCCCAGTTCCCACCCACCCAACCACCAGCCCAACCCCTCTCCCCTTGGCAGTGCCTGGCCTCCACCACTCTGTCGGCGACGCCAGGTTCCCCCATATCCGCCGACAACCCTTGTAAGTTGTAATAGTATGAATGGGCATGACTTGTATGAGCCATTCTTATCTAAAGGGTAAAATATGTTAAGGCTATAAACCCTTTTATATCTCTAAATTTTATTTTCAACATTGAATTAAACTTGTGATACGCAATACCATGATACAGATTATTGTAAATGAATAATCAAATAATGTAAAAAATATCACTATTATACGTCAAGCTAACTTTGATTTTGATCTTGTGAGATTTAATATTTGAACTATCAAAACCGCGCAATTGCACGGGTACTAACTCAATTGGGTGATTCTTCCCCTAAATTGAATTAAGTGAGGATTTTTTTGATTTATTGTTTTGGATTTTTAATGGGTTTTGTTTGAATTTTTATTTTGTGGTGAATTTGGGGTGTTTTGTTGAGATTTTGTTTTTTTCTTTTCTTGCTGAAATGATTGTTTAGGTGATTGTTCTTTTGATTTTGCTGGGTTTTCTTTGATGGGTTTTGTTCAATTTGTGAATTTTGTGAATTTGTGATTTTGGGTTTTGGTCGGCCGGTACAGGGCTGGTGCCGGTAGGGGAGAGGGAGGGGCCTGCCGCCGGCAGGATTTGGGCTGGTTGGTGTGATTTTTTTAAAAATATATTATCTTTAAAATAATTTAATTATTGAAAAAATAAAAAACTAATCATGGTTAAAGAATTTAACTAGAGTTAGACTCATAATTACATATAATCATCATTAATGTCACAATTGGATTGGTAAAACAATGTAAATTAGAGTTTACCACAGATAATAAGAATTTTTACAATTTACCACTTAGAAAATTAAAAAATATAGTGTTACCAAAGAGAATTTCCCTAAATAACTTATGTGACTCCATACCAAAAGCTTTATTATGTCTTGATCATGATTTTAATATCACTGTAATATGCATAAAAGAGGTAAACCATTTGATACTTAGACAATACGATTCTACTACGTAATAGTTGGGTTTTTTTTTTTAGTCAAAGTCAATTCCACACTGGAAACATATCCCGTAGATTTTTCAAACAGATACTTCGGTTGTTCTGTTTTTCAAGGCCACTAATAGTGACAAATGGGGGAATTAACGAGTCTAGCAGACCGACTTTTCAGTATGTGTTAATCACAAAATTAAGCAGACTTTCTGTATAGACCTGAATGTCTGATACCAAGCTGTTATTCAGCAGTTGTGCCCCTTGTGATTGTTAATATTGATTTCAGAATTTTTTATGCAATATGTCTTCGGTTGTTAATCCTTTTTTATTGTATTCATTTGATTGATTCTCATGAATTTGATCACCTAGTGTCCTAGTCGGACTATGACAATAGATTACTTTGGGAAGACTGCTACTAGGGGTGGGACTTCGGTCTGGCGGTTCGGTTTGACCTCGGTTTGAGTCGGTTTCGGTTTAAAGCGGTTCGGATTGAAACGGTTTAGTTTAGCTGGCGGGTCGGTTTGGTTCGGTTTGGGTTAGTCACGGCTCGGTTTGGTTTCGGTTTATTTCTTTGCGGTTTAAATTCGGTTTGGGTCATAAGCGGGTCGGTTTATAAACGATTCGGATTATGTCGGTTCGGTTAGATACGGGTCGGTTAAGGGGGCGGGTTTACCCGGGTCAATGTCAGTTCGGTTTACAAACGGTTTGGATCAAGCCGGTTTGGTTTGAAATGGGTCGGTTTAGGGGCGGGTTTACCCGGGTCAATATCGGTTCGGTTTATAAACGGTGCGAATCATGTCGGTTCAGTTTGAAATGGGCCGGTTTAGTGGAGGGTTTACACAGTTCAATTGGTTCGGTTTATGAACGGTTTGGATCATGTCGGTTCGGTTTATAAGCGGTTTGGGTCATGAATTCATGATTGTTTTAAAGATCGCGTCATGACCATGATTTAATGAGTTGATACTTATAATACGATAAATCGATAATTAAGAATGTACAAGTATTCAATTAGATTGATCAACAAGTGTTTTAAACTTTTAAGTTTTAATGATCAAATATGTAAATATGTTTATCGATTGTAGTACATACCAATAATTCAATGAGGCAATGATACTTATGATAGTATGATAATGATACCAACCGTACATTCGTACGATATGATATACATAATAATTAATCTATAATTACATATACATTAACAATATCGTATTGAATCAATTTCCATTTCCAAACATTGCATTTCTTATAAATTATAACTTACACGAGATTAAATGGATTCGTTATTTAGTTTGTTATTTTATTTAGATTACTAACTCAAACAACTTAATAAGTTAAATGGACGAAATCACTAATTAAAGTGGTGATGAAATCATTATGCAATACTAATGTACGAATAGTCAAATATACAACGGTTAGATTGAATGCCCATGAAAAACAATGGTTAGATTTTCATTACTTTATTAGTTATTAGTATTACTTATTAAGTTATTATTAGTTTATTATATATATATACTGATATACAGTCACAGACTCACAGATATATATAATATACATATAGAGATGTCAGATATTGATGTGCATTAACTCATTAAGTCATTAACTATGTCGTATTGAATCAATTTCAATTTTGAAACATTTGCGTTTCTTACAATTTATAACTTATAAGTAATAAACTAATAATAATAATAATAGTAATAATAATAATAATAATAATAATAATAATAATAATAAATAATAATAATAATAATAAATAATAATAATAATTATAATAATATTATAATAATAGTAGTAGTAAACTAGTAATAATAATAATATTAACAAATAATTATACTAACAATAATAATAATAATAATAATAATAATCCCTCAAAATAATAATAATAATAATAAATAATTAAAAAAAAACGGTCAAAAAGACCTAGAAAAGCACAAAGAAAAATCTAGACCGTTAGATCTAGATGAATATTCTGGAATCTACAAAAAAAAATGAACGGTTAGATGTTGAGATTGAATATGGACGGTTAGATCAACTGAACAAGTAAAACCTAAACCTAGAAAAAAAAACCCACTCTATCAGCCATTCAGCCGTTTTACTCACTCATAGTTTCTCTCTCTAACTTCTCAGTTTCTCACTCTTTCGTTCTGAAATTCTCAAGAATCTCAAGCTCAACTTCTCAACTTTTAAAAATCCTAATTAGGGTTTTTGTTTTCGTTTCATTTGTGTTTTGGATCTACATTTCTGATTTCTCGCTTTACATTCTCGTTTTTTTGTTTTTTCAAATCTTCCTCTCCTTCAATTTGAAGGCTTCAAGCCGTCAAAAGTTCAAAACTCAAGGTAATTTTTTGTTAATTTTTGTTGTTTTCGTTTTGATTTTTTTAGTTTTTGTTTCGGTTTGTTTATTTAGGGTTTTTGTTTTCGTTTCATTTTTGTTTTGGATCTAAGTTCTGATTTCTGACCTTTCCATTCTCGTTTTTTTTTCCAAATCTTCCTCTCCTTCAAGCCGTCAAACCTCAAGGTAATTATTTGTTAATTTTTGTTGTTTTCGTTTTGATTTTTTTCGTTTGTGAAATAATGCCGTTGGCCTAGATCTAGGTGATATAAACCTTTGTATAAACCTAAGCCGTTTGATTAGATCTACATTTATTAACATTAATTGTATTTACTATTTAGCCATTTAGGTTGTAAATAATTCAATTTGAGTTAAGCAGTTTGTAATCGGATCAGTTTAAACAGGTTGCGATTCGAAAACAGTTCGATTTTAACGGTTTAACGGGTTATGGCAGTTCAGTTTAGACGGTTAGCGGATTATAACGGTTCGGTTTATACGTGCGGTTTAAACGGTTTCGGTTCATAAACGGGTCGGTTTAAACGGTTAGCGGGTTACAAATGGTTCGGTTTAAACGGTTTTTTTTTCGGTTTAAACGGTTTCGGTTTATAAATGGTTCGGGTCATTAACGGGTTTATAAACCATTCGGTTCGGTTTCGTTTCGGTTCGGATTTGCGCAGTTTGGTTTGTTATCGGTTTACGGTCCGTAACGGGTTGACATTGAGCGGTTCAATTCGGTTTCGGTTTGATATTGAACGGTTTAGTTCGGTTTTCGGTTTATAAACGGATCGGTCCGTAATGGTTCGGTTCGGTAACGGGCGGTTTCACGGTTCGGTTTGAAAAGTCCCACCCCTAACTGCTACTAATTATTAAGGGATGCATATGTTAATTTGGTTCTTGTTAACATTAAGTTATCAACTAGTCATGAGAAAAAGACTTGTCAAAACTGGTGGCTAAGGGAATGTTTTCTTGTGATTCCTTATCCTTCTATTGGTATTTCTTAGTTCCTTATACTAATGTTCCTCCACAATCTAAGTTGAATCTTGATTTGTCAGCCTATTGATCATCTGCCTGAATAAACATTATGTAATTCCATACCCAAAAAGCTTTACTATCTTTTAATTATCATAGTCATAGGTTATATTTCATTGTTTATGAGATCGGTAATAGCTTGAGGAAGGAGCACGCAGCGGTACTAGATTAGTGGACTTGCATCTTTCTTTTTTTTTTTCTCGAAACTGTTCTTTGTCCTTCTAGGCAAATGTACCATCCAGTAGAAGCATGTTTCATTACCTAACCTTGAAATGCTAGAATATAGGCACACAATAATCTCTGTATAAATTATACTTCGATCTCTTATGGAAATTGAAATTACAACTAGATTGTCAGGATTTGAAACAACTCCTTTAAGCGAAACAAGCTAAAGGTAATGGCTCTGATTTACCAACCTTGCTTACTATGCTGAATCTTCAAGAAAATTCTTGCAGGATCGTCCCATCCAAAGGAAAGGTTGAAGAGAACACTAATAATTATAGGTGATATGTCAAACTTTGTTTACTATACGGAGTAACTAATTATATCAACCTTGTAAAATCTAATACGAAGTATTTTTCTGCATATAGCTTCTTTAGTAGTTGGGTCGGCCATGGTTGCAATTGTTCTATTTTATTTCACAAGAACAAAGGCATCTCAGAAACTTATCTTAACAAAGGAAGAAAGAAATGACAGCCAAGATGTGGAAGTTATGCTTAAGCGCTATGGAGAACATGCTCCGAAAAGATATACCTATGGGGAAATAAAGAAAATGACTAGTTGCTTTCAAGAAAAGCTTGGTGAAGGCGGCTATGGTGGTGTTTACAAAGGCATACTACAAGATGGCTCTCCTGTTGCGGTTAAGTCACTGAAAAATCATAGTAGCAAGGGAGCAGATTTCATTAATGAAATTGCCAGCATTAGTGAGACTAATCATGTTAACATCGTCACTCTTCTAGGTTATTGCTATCAAGGACGCAAAAGTGCTCTAGTTTATGAGTTCTTGCCTAATGGTTCACTTGACAAGTATATATACTGTGGTCAAAATCAGAATTCGATAGCATGGGAAACGTTACTCCAGATTGTGATTGGCATTGGACGAGGCTTAGAGTACCTGCACCAAGGTTGTAGGACACGTATTTTGCACTTCGACATTAAACCTCACAACATACTGCTGGATGCAAAATTTTGTCCGAAAATCTCAGATTTTGGCTTAGCTAAATCATATGTACAAACAAAGAGTTTGATGACAATGTCTGGCACAAGAGGCACACCAGGATACATTGCTCCTGAAGTATTTTGTAGAGGCTTTGGCGGTGCTTCCCACAAATCAGATGTCTACAGTTTTGGGATGCTGGTTTTAGATTTAGTTGGTTGTAGAAAAAACAGTATTGCTGGGAGTGAGAAGACAGGCAGTGAGCTATATTTTCCTCACTATATATACAAGCAGTTTGAGCTTAAAGATGACCATGAGCTTAAAGAGGAACATGAGCTTCTAGGAATCTCAAATGATGAAGAGAAAGCAATACAAAAGAAATTAGTTATCGTTAGCTTGTGGTGCATCCAAACAAATCCTTCAAGTCGGCCATCAATTAGCAGAGCAGTGGAAATGCTCGAAGGAGACATCGAGTCACTGCAGATTCCTCCCATCCCATTTATGTCCTCTCCTCCTAAGTCAAATAATCAACATTCATCTATTAACTCTGCAACATTAGAATTACACCTAACAAACGGGTCATCTGAATAGGAGATTGACTCTATGTAACTTTGTAAATGGGGGCACTATTTTATTCGGTCGGTGATTCAGTCGGCATAAACGCGAATTTTTGTTGTATATGAGCAATATACATTTGATTATTTGGTGCAACTATGGTTAATTACTATCACAGTACAATATCAACTGATCATCATAGAATTTTGTAATTGGTTTCCTAAAATATTTGCTTTGGGGAAGGGTTGGTTTGTCTCTATATAATTCTGCAAGAAATAGAAAACAGATCAAAATTGCAATTTCATGAAATTGCGAGTATTTAATGATCAAAATAAATCTAAACTATTACAAGGTTGGAGTCCATCGAAGATTTTCCATTTACCATTCCCGAGAGGCTTACTCAAATCCCAGGCACCGACTGTTACAGACACAACACTGATCAGCGTTGTCGTGATAAGATGGCTGAATTTTATCCCATGGCTTTGGCTTACTTCAACAAAAAATATGTATGTGTATATTTAACTTTAATACCCTTGAACTGATTATTTCTATGAATTGGGTGCACAATTTTATGTCCGTTGTGATTAATACTGCGAATTTGCAATTACCAAAGTATTGTATCTACGTTAAACTTTGTGTGAAGGGACTTTTTATATAATGTTGGTGTAGTTTTATTTATCCGTTGTGATTATCACTTGTGAATACCAATTGACCGTTCCTATGTAAAAACTTGTGCATAACTTTATATGACACAACTGAAAGGAGAAAGGACTACTATATAAGTTGGATGCACTATAATTGTCGATTCATTCATTGTGATTTTAACTTGCAGTTACCTAAGGACTGTTCCTATGTGAAAATGTGTGCATAATATCATACGGCGGATAATATGACCAAAAGGCTACTATGTAAGTTGGATGCACTATTATATGTCCGTTGTGATTATCAATTGTAAATATCGAAAGACCGTTCCTCTTTAAAAACTTGTTTATAAACTTATAGCGCACTCAATATGGAATGAAGATTGGAAGAGTGCTCTATAACTCTATAAGTAGCCAAGTAGGCGTGCACTATGTTGTGTCATTGAATTTAATTTTTTTTTTTTTTTCTTGTTATTATTAATTTTTTTATGGCCTGCAGAACACAGATTATAAGTATGAGGCTTGTGTTGATCTGATCCTTTCTGGAATGGATCACAATTATGCTTGTCATTGCAACTTCACTGCCAAACCTGAATCAACGCCTTTCAAGCCTGGTGATTTTTCCACCAAGCTTTTCTTTGCGGAATTCATGCTTACACCTGTTGCGATACCGCCCCTCACTTTATGCAGTATGCTAGACGGTAAGGCCTCTCATTATCATTTTACCTATGTTTTTAATACTCAACATTTAAGTGTATTATCTTTTATATTTTACCCATCTCATGCAAACTAATTACTTTTCCAGTCTAATCTGGCCAACCTTCTAAGGACAGAGCACAGAGACTAGATTTGTCTTGGGTTGTTAGGTTGCATAACTGTTAATGTGAATCTGTATAACATAACTGAGTATAAATCGATGAATAATATTTTGGATGGCATGGTTTCTTGTTGGTGTATCTTTTGATCCTTTGAGATTTGACATCCTAGATATTTTGTAGTTTTTTTTTTATGTCTGTCGTAGGATTCAAAGTGAATGACCTCATTGTCCCGCAAAATGTATGACTTTGTATTGTGTAATGCCTTTAATCTTACCTAATGTTTGGTGCTAGTGCTCCGTACGATCAGTATTTTGCTGCTTGATTTGAGTTCTTTGTGATTATGCTCACTATGCCATACATACTATCATAGTTAACACAACCTTTGTTTGCTTTTTTTTTTTTTTTTTTTTTTTTTTTTAATTTTTAATTTTTGGTTCATGATGCCGTCTACTTTTTTTTGTATGTAGTCAGAAATTACTAATCAGTGTATCATTTTTGTTTTGGCTGTATTTTTTATTTTATTTTGTCTCATGAAATTACTGATGCCAGTTTGTTCCTCCTCCTAAACCCAAGGCTTTCATATGACTTTATGCTGAGGGCAGAGTAAAACCTTGTTGATGCCCTTAATATTGGAGTGTGTGAGGCGGCTGTGTGATCTGAGGGGTATGTGATGGCTGTGGCAGGCCTTAATGCTTGCCAAATTCGCAAGTAGGCCTGATTGTGGAGCAGTGCTATTCTTGCAGTGGGTTTGTATGTATGCTTAGTTGGTCCCCTGTTTTTTAATAGAAAAACTAACACTATCTCATACAGTAAGTTATAATGAAAATGAACACATCTCTCTCTCACACGATCATGGCTCCTTAATTTCTGATGGTCTAATTTACTTGATGTCCAATAGGTGCTGAAGCTGCATGCGAAGGCGACTGCTCGATATGCCCTGAAGGAGCGATTTCTCATCCGGCATCTTTCAAAAGTGGCTTAAAAAACTCCTTGATGTGAGCATGATGTGCAAGAATGTGGGTTGATGGCATCTAATATCATTAGCAACTAGTGTGGAATTTGAAGTTAATATGTAGTATAAATATTTGTGTTGGAGACGCTAGGCACAACTTTTTCATGGGCTTTTAAAATATATATATATATATATATAATAATATTATATATGTATAAACTAGATTTTATGTATGAGAAGTATGTAGACTTAGTTCATAAGAGTTGCAAAAGTATCTTCACGTCATTTTTTTTATTTTATTTTATTTTATTTGTTACATATAAAAAACAGTGGAAAGTTTTGCCGACTACTTATTCAAACTAGTAGAATAATCAAGATCAAGTCAAACTTGTAAGTCAAGAGTCTACATCTAATTTTGTTTTTAGTGCCTTCATATACTTTTTTATTACTGCATATTTCTATTCACTTAATCAACCATCTACAAAAAATGGCTCATTTTCCTCTGCCAATAATACTGTCCATGACAATATTCTTGGTTATATTCTGTTTTCCCATCTGTTTTAGCAGTGACTTACAATGGTATGATAGCTGTGGGAATTACTTCAGGTGTGGCACTGTCAAAGCCGGGTTTCCCTTCTGGGGAGGCGGCACTAGGCCGAAGGAATGTGGTTACCCGGACTTAGAGCTCAGTTGCGAATACAATGCTACCACTACTATACAAAGCAAGGGTATGAAATATCATGTCCTTGACATCAATCAGAATACACAGGTTCTGAAGATGGCTAGGGAGGATTTTCTGCAAGGAATTTGCATGCAGAAATTTATAAACACCACGATTGATCCCGAGCTATTTGATTATGCGCCTGGATCCCATAATCTGACAGTTCTATATGGGTGCCCCCCTCCTTACACGCCTAATCCTAGTCAATTTACTTGCAAAATCTATGGTACTAATGACACTGATGGTTATCCAGTAGAAGGGGCGATCGGCCCAAGTGGGTGTTTTGCTAGCATTGTGGTCCCGGTTGTTGATTCTTCAGCTGCACAAATACGGAAGTGGAGCCCGAGTCAAATCATTGGGAAAGGGTTTGAAGCAATCTATAAGGTTCAGGGTGAAGATTTATGTGTTGGATGTGAAGCATCAAAGGGTAGATGTGGTTTTGATCTTAGTAAAAATAAGATATCCTGTCTTTGCCTAGATGGAAGTGTTGGAGATACACTATGCAACAACACAACATCTTCTGCTAAATCAGGTATGTTTTCGTACTAAATCGAATGCATTGCAGTGGTATGTGTTTATGTATGTGCATATAAAACTGGCTGTTAATTAAAGTCAGTCTTCATCTGCTGCTGGTATAAAGCCCAGTGTTTTTGATTCTTAAATTATTAGATTTACTCCAGAACATGCTAAATGTAAGATAAATGAAATTTCTTGCAAAAATAATTTAGTCCAACATATGGAATAGCACTTATTCGTTTTACTCGAAAAAAAACCCTTAACCCCAACATAGTAGAAATGAAACGGGCAAAAGCAAGTGCTTTGACAATTCTATTCGATGGAGTACTAATTTTTCTTAGACTCCATTTAGTTCTTCCCTAGAATCATATCTTTGCAAAATTTTCAAAGATAAACCAAAATAGTCAGATTTACTGATCTTACTTCAGGGCAAAAATAATGACTTATATTGAAGTGAATGAGTCAATAATCTATTCCTTCCATTTCATAAACAATATACTCATCGTCTAGTTTCTTTCATGAGCTTCATACAGAATGAAGCACCAGCTTTCCAGATCTCTTTCATTAATTACTCTCAATTTCTTCATACTAGTAATCAGCTCCTTAAAATTTATAAGCTCCTATGATGAGCGTTTCTTTAACTGCAGTCAACCTTTTAACTGTGGTGGTATAGAAAATTTAAAGTATCCCTTCTGGGGAGAGAGTAGGGCACCATATTGCGGCCTACCTGGATATGAGCTTCAATGCCTTGGCAATGATGTTCCAATCATTACCATCACATCTCAGAAATATAGATTCTTAAAAGCTGATGCTGAAGCACATAAGCTTACAGTGGCAAGAGATGATTTTTGGGATGATCTTTGCCCTTCATCCCTGGTAAACATCAGCAAAAATAGCAGCCCCTTCGAGTATCCCTTTAACCCTGGCTATTTGACTCTCTGCTATGACTGCCCTATTGCATCCATGATAAGTTTGGGCTTTCTAGGACACACTGTGTGTCACAAAAATGGTTCCTTTATTGATGTGTGTTTCAAAACTGGGGTGTATACTCCTAATATAGGGTGTAGGAGTGTGGTAAACATACCAATTCTCAAAACATTAGCTCCAGAATTAAAGATTGACAAAGCCTCTGTCCTTGAGGCTTTGCGTGATGGTTTTGAATTACAGTGGAAAGTGGACGATGATCAATGCAAGACGTGCGTGGAATCAAGTGGTCAGTGTGGGAATGGTCTCCACGGAAGTATGTTATTGGCCTACGTAAAATACTTGGCATGAATGATCTACTCACCACTAGGCAATTATACGGTAGGAAAAACCGAAAAAGAGCTATGATACTCGTATAACTTACTCTACCGGTCTAGCTCATCATCCGAGAAGTTCTAATATGACTATTATTTCTATCACTATCAGTGCAGTATGCATTGAAGATGTAAAACATTTGATATTAGACAACACGATTCTACATTTCTACTACGTAATTGCTGGGTTTGTTAAGTCTTTAGTCAATTCCACCCTGGAAACATGTCTTGTAGATTTTTCGAAACAGGGAAGTTAACGAGTCTAGCAGGCTAACTTTTATGCATGCGTTAATCACAATAATAAGCGAACTGCAGGACTATTCTTTAATCTGACCAAGTAGAATGTCAAAACTGGTGGCTAATTAACGACATGATTTCTTGTGGTTCCTGTTGGGCCCGGGTCACCTGCCTAATCAGGCCGTATGCACACTTTACTCTACATTAGCATGATATTGTCCGCTTTGGGCGTAACCCGCACGGATTTGTTGTGAACACCTTCCCAAAAAACTTCATACTATTGAAGTGTGTACTCAGTTATAACGAAGTCATCCCTTCCTTATTTCTACAATGTGGGATTTGGGATGAATAACCCCAACAGTTCCTTATCCTTTGATCAGTTGGTGATACCTAAAGCTTTACTATCACATAATTACCGTATTCATAGGCTAAATTTTCAGGTTTATGAGATCAATAATAGCTTGAGGGAGTAGCGGTGCTAACCACATAAGTGTAGACTAGCATCTTTCCCTTTGTTTGAAACTGTTATCCTTCTAGCTAGGCACATGTAGCCAGTAGAATTAGAAATTAGAAATTAAGCTAGGTACACTATTTTTTATAATAATAATTATTATTACTATAATATAATTATTATTATTAAATATTTATTATTTATTATTATTATTATTGTTATTAAAAATTAATAATTATTATCTTTAAATATTAGTTATTATCTTTAAAATATCGGCAATTTCATGAAATGCCACTAAGTAGTAAAAAATTCACCAAATGGCATTGCGTTTTTCAAAATTCACCAAATGCCACTGAGTTTTAGTACAATATCACCATATAACATTTTCATTAGTTGACCGTCAGTACTGGTTAGTTGACCCCACCATTTGCCACATGTCACCTTCTGATTGGTGCGTTTTTAAAAATAAAAATAATCAAACAAAAATTAAAAAAAAAAAAAAAAAACCAGCCACCATCTCCTCCCTGCCATCGAGCCCCCTGCCCACCCCAAAACCCTAGCCACCACCACCCCCTGCCGCCGGAACACCGGGAGGCGCGCCGGCCGACGGCGACCTCTCCCCTTCCCCTCCCCTATCCCGTCGCGACCCCCTAACCCGCGAAACCCCACCCCCCTTCCTCCACCACCCCGAAACCCCACCCCCTTTCCTCTCCCTCTCCGATTTCCGGCCACCCTACCCAACACCCATCCCCTTCCCGTCAATTTCCGATTCCGGCCACCATTTGAGTTCCAAAAACCAATTACTCCCCAAACATCAATTTAACTATTCAACCCATCAAACACAGCTCCAAAAACCCGAAAACTGAACCCATCAAATTCAAGCAGCATTAGTTACTGTGTGTTAATGGCAAGGTCCTAGACATGCGAAAACGACCTCCATCTTGAAGCAACTGAGCTTAGGTTAGGAGTACCAGGGAGCAAAGAGCAAGAAATTAAATTTCAATCTAACTCTAATAATGGTGGATTGGTGGTTACGAGGATGGCGGTTGCGGGGACGGAGATTTGATTAGGGGTTGTTACGGAGGTGGGGGGAGGGAGCTGAGGAGGCCGGTACGGTTTCGGCGATGGGGCTGGGGTGGGGGGATGATTCCGGCGGTGTAGCAGGGGAGAGTGGTGGTTTTGGGGGTGGGTATAGTGAGGAGGTGCTATCGGTGGTTGTGGGCTGGTGGTTTGAATTTTTTTTTTTCCTTTTTTCTATTAGTTTTTTTTTTTAGTTTTTGTTTAATAATTTTTTTTTAAAACGAACCAAGCAGAAGGTGACACGTGGCAAGTGATGGGTTCAACCAACGGTCAACTAACGGGCACTGACGATCAACTAACGGAAATGGCATATGGTGATATTGTACTAAACCTCAGTAGCATTTGGTGAATTTTGAAAAACGCGATGGCATTTGGTAAATTTTTTAAGTACTCAGTAGCATTTCATGAAATTGCCGTTAAAATATTAATTTTTATTATAAAAAATCAATTATTATTATTATTTTTTTATTAATAATAATAATTATTATTATCATCATCATTATTATTACTATTTTTATTACTATTATTATTATTATTAAATATTAATTATAATTATTATAATTATTAAACATTAACTATTTATTATTATTGTTAAATATTAATTATTATTATAATAATTCAATATTAATTATTATTTTTAAGTAGAGCAGAGCAGAGCAGGACTCAGCACAGTAGAACAGCTCTAAAGAACAGGACCTAAATCTAACCGAGTATCCCCTATAACACTAACAAAGTAATCCCGTGATGGTTGGCCATACCGTGTAGCCAGCCACATAAGAATTTTATTATTTCTCTCAATAACTAATAATTAAATATAACTTTGCTAACATATATTTTAAAAAATCACCATATGATAAATTTCCTAAAACTTTGTGCAAGCCCTAGTGTACAATTATTACGCAACAGTGGGAGTAATATTCAATAAAAATAATTTCAGTTTAATAAAAATAAGTTCAATTCTACAAATATAATTTCAATTCAATTATGAACCAGTAACTTTAAAGAACAAATATAATTGATTCATTAAAAAATAAGTTGTAACTAGTAAAATTAATTACAATTATGTTAAAATTAGGTGGAGAGACAAAGTCTTATCTATAAAATTAGTAATAAAAACTTTGTTTTGCTAAGTGGATACGTCTTTTAGCACTGGGCCCTGACATTTATTGAAACGGACCCTGGTGATCAAACTTCTGAGAGACTTTGTGAACAATGTATTATCAAGACCAAGTCATCCTTTCAAAATATCCATTGCCATCCTCCTATCATTTCATTGAAGTTCCATTACTTGTTTCATTTTATTCAATTCAACCTTTTTATTCACTTATAACATGGAACTCTCTTACATACTTCTCGTTCTCTTCATCATCTTTCGCTTATTCCACCTCCAACATTATGCTTATGCTGATGATGAGAGGTACGAAGACTGCAACAAGCCCTTTGAGTGTGGAACTGTCTCTAACTTAAGTTACCCTTTCTATGACGGTCACATTCGTCCTGATTACTGTGGCTATCCCGGGTTTCAGCTTGACTGCAGCAGCAGTCCTCCAGATATCTCAGTTGCACCGTCAGAGAGGTATTACGTTATTGGGGTGAAACCAGATCAGCCTATTGTTACTGTTGCGAGAAAAGACTACTGGGATGGTTACTGCCCTGGGACTCTGCATAATACCAGCATAAACTTCGACCTCTTCAACTATGTAGACCTGGAAGATAATGTCACCATTTACTATGGTTGTCCTGATGTTTCTACCCCAATGACTAATTCTTTTATCTGTGCAAACTTTAGTGATGCTCGTAGTCCGTTTGGCTATTTCGTTGCCAATGATTCAGAGTCCTCCCCCTCAGGCAAGAATATCCCACGGGATGCATGCAACAGAAGCATTACTGTGCCTGTTACCAATTATGAATCATCTGCTCTGAGGATAGTAGATACAATAAGCTTAATGGCAGCATTACGCTATGGTTTTGAATTAGAGTGGAAAGCAGAGAATGATGTGTGTAATAAGTGTCGTAAATCGGGTGGGGAATGTGGGTATAATACTACTATGAGTAGATTTACTTGCTATTGCCCTGATCAGCCTTACGCTTCCAAATGCCCTGGTAAAAGCCCTGTACTTTCTCTAGCAAATTTTTCGTTAACTACTTAACCAACTGTATAACTTTAATGCAATCAAACTTCTTTTGTTGATCATTTAACTGCAGTCTTGAATTGATAAATTGTTATGAAATCAGATTATTCTCACCTAGTCTATTGGCCTACATAGAATACTTGGCATACTAACCCATCCAGGACTTAACCTTTCCATTTCTATGATGTTGTATAACTTACTCTACCGGTCTAGCTCATCATTCAAGAAGTTCTAATATCAGGGGTTGTTTGGTTAGACAAAGAAAATGAGGGAAGTTGAAAATCAGGGGAAATTGAAAATAAATGAGTTGTTTGGTTGACAATAAAAAGTGTAAATGAGGGAATTGTAAATTCATGGGAATTGTGGCTTCCCACAAAACATGGGAAGTTAATTACCCAACCCCCCCTAGGTAAGTCAAAATTCCCATGATTTGCAACTTCCTTCATGCCAACCAAACAACTTTATGCAATTCCCATGAATTTGATGTAGAAATTTAATTCCATGAAATACAAATTACTATGGGAAGTAAATTCCCATAACAACCAAACGACACCCGAGTATTATTTATATCACTATCACTGCAGTATGCGTTGCAGATGTAAAACATTTGATACTTAGACAACACGATTCTACTACGTAATTGTTGGGTTTTTTCAAGTCTTTAGTCAATTCCACTCTGGAAACATATCTTGTAGATTTTTCAAATGGGGAAGTTAACAAGTCTAGCAGACTGACTTTTCAGTATGTGTTAATCACAGTATTGTTAATCACAGTATTAAGCAGATTTCTGTATAGGATTGAATAATTTGTGTCCCTTTTGATTGTTTTTTTATAACGATTTCAGATTAGGTTCTTGGTAACATTAAGTTAACATTTAGCAACTAATCATGAAAAAGACTGTTGTCGTCCAAGGAACTGCAGGAGTATTCTTTAATCAGACCAAGTAGAATGTCAAAACTGGTGGCTTATAAGACATGCTTTCTTGTGGTTCCTTATCCTCTGATTAATTGGTGATCCCTGCACTAATCTTCTTACTTAATTAAGGTTGAATCTTATTCCATACCTAAAGCTTTACTGTCACACAATAACCAATATTCATAGGCTAAATTTTCAGGTTTATGAGATCAATAAGTGTAGACTAGCTCTTTCCTTTTGTTTGAAACTGTTGTCCTTCTAGCTAGGCAAATGTAGCCAGTAGAAATTAAGCTAGGTACACTAATTTTAGTAAAAATTATATTTCGAGGAGTTCGAGCTCCTATGGAATTTGAAATTACAACTAGACTGTCAAGGATTTGAAACTCCTCTCTTTAAGTGCGACAGATCTGATTTGCCTCACTATGCTGAATCTTTAAGATAAATCTTGCAGGATCGTCCCATCTAAAGAAAGAGTTGAAGACTACACTGATAATTATAGGTAATATGTCAAACTTTGTTTATCATAAGTAACTGATAATATAAACCTTTTAAAGTCTAATAATTTTCTACATCATGTAGCTTCTTCAGTTTTAGGGTTGGCCCTGATTGCAGTTGCACTACTTTCTTTCACAAGAACAAAGGCATCTCAGAAACTTATCTTAACAAAGGAAGAAAGAAAAGACAGCCATGATGTGGAAGTTATGCTTAAGCGCTACGGAGAATATGCACCGAAAAGATATACCTATGGGGAAATAAAGAAAATGACTAGTTGCTTTCAAGAAAAACTTGGTGAAGGCGGCTATGGTGGTGTATACAAAGGCAAACTACAAGATGGTTCTCCAGTCGCTGTTAAGTTACTAAAAAATCCTAATTGCAAGGGAACAGATTTCATTAATGAAGTTGCCAGCATTAGTGAGACTAATCATGTTAACATCGTCACTCTTCTAGGTTATTGCTATCAAGGACGCAAAAGAGCTCTAGTTTATGAGTTCTTGCCTAATGGTTCACTTGACAAGTATATATACTGTGGTCAAAATCAGAATTCGATAGCATGGGAAACGTTACTCCAGATTGTGATAGGCATTGGACGAGGCTTAGAGTACCTGCACCAAGGTTGTAGGACACGTATTTTGCACTTCGACATTAAGCCTCACAACATACTGCTGGATGCAAAATTCTGTCCGAAAATCTCAGATTTTGGCTTAGCTAAGTCATATGTACAGACAAAGAGTTTGATGACAATGTCTGGCACAAGAGGCACACCAGGATACATTGCTCCTGAAGTATTTTGTAGAGGCTTCGGTGGTGCTTCCCACAAATCAGATGTCTACAGTTTCGGGATGCTTGTTTTAGATTTAGTTGGTTGTAGAAAAAACAGTATTGCTGGAAGTGAGAAGACGAGCAGTGAGCTATATTTTCCTCACTACATATATAAGCAGTTTGAGCTAAAAGAGGACCATGAGCTTCTGGGAATCTCAAATGATGAAGAGAAAGTAATACAAAAAAAATTAGTTATAGTTAGCTTGTGGTGCATCCAAACGAATCCTTCAAGTCGGCCATCAATCAGCAGAGCAGTGGAAATGCTCGAAGGAGACATCGAGTTACTGCAGATTCCTCCCATCCCTTCTCTATCCTCTCCTCCTAAGTCACATCATCAACATGATTCATCTACTAACAATGCGACATTAGAATTACAGCTGACAAATGGGTCATCCGAATAGGAGATTGGTTCTAAGCAATTTTGGAAATGGGGGGCACTATCAGCAACATTTGATTATTGGTGTCACTATTACGGAGTCACAATTTCCCACAACATCAACCAATACACTTTCAAAGACCTAATGCATCTAACAATTTTGTAATTGGTTTCCTAAAATCGTTGCTTTGGAAGGATATAATTAGTCTCTAGATTTAGCTCTTTGCAGAAGCAAGAAATAGACATCAGATAATCAATTCATGTTAATAGCTTTTGTACTTGAACTCTTGAAGCATTCCAAAAATTTACATTGCATTTGCCTAATTAATGGCAATTAATATTAAATAGGGGAATATTGAGCAATAATTTGATCATTTTGTTGTCACTATGGCTAAAGCCTATAGTCAACTAGACTTCTATGATTGTTAGCTTAGTTCAAGGTTCTGAATTAGGTTCTTGTTCAAGACTCCAAATTTCTGAGCAAATTCAAATCGAGTATTCAAGTCGGATCAATTTTGACAAGTCTAGAACCCAAAAAGGCCTAGTCCAATCAATGAAAGCCTAAAACCAACCACTTATCAAATGCATAAACTTCACAACAATTACAATCAACCAATATTGTGATTAGTACTCATAAATTGGTAAAATATAGTATCAACAGTATAAATTTAATTTATTTCTTAGTAGAATCAGTACCTCTAAGCGATTGCCAGAAAACAGGCCAATTCTTTTGAGCTTCTTGCCAACCCCAGAAAGAACCTTCCCTTAAAGGATCCCAACTAGAGGACACAATCCCATAACTAACCCCTAAAAGGGCAGTCCCAAAGAAGATAAAGGACACAATAAAGGGCACCCAAGTTGGTACATCAATTTTTAACCCCACTTTTAGATAATAAAAAAATGGGAAAAATGCTAACCCTATAAACAGAGGTACCCCAACTGAAAATGCCATCCTATTAATCATTCTGTTTGTAACAATTTCTGGGATTATCCCTTGTTCTGCTTCTTCAACTTCATCATCATCTTCATCTTCTTCTTCATCATCTTCATTGTTGATTTTCTTGCTTTTTTTGATCTTTTTATTTGGGGCACCAAATCCTTTAGGGTTTCTGAGAGTGGCTTTAAGGTAAGTGGGTTTTGAGGAGATAGAAAGTATGTTTTTGTGGATTTTTGAGGTGGGAATTATGAATTTTGAAGTGGGTTTAATGGTGGGTGTTGAATTATTTGGGCAGATTAATGTGGGAGCTCTTTGGAAAGAGCAAGACTCCATTTTTCTGAAGCTTCTCTGAACACTGAATTACTGCGAATTTCTCATTTAGTTGGGGGGTGATGAGGAAAAAAGATAGTCTTATCCGGATTTACTTAAATTACATGAATACCCCTTATCTATCGAATGAGTTTCTTGATTGATTATTGGGTACTAACATGATACTATGGACAAAGTTGTAAACTCATATTTTGTCCGTTCTTAAAAGTACGACACACTTTCAAAAAATAGATACATATTTGAAAAACTTGAAATTACTGAACATTTTATTCTTACCGTAACTAAAATTATTTTTATGGATTAAAACTTATTTTTACTAATTCTCTACTATATTTGTTCTTAAAATTTACTTATTTTTATGGAACTAAACTTATTTTTCATATAAGAGTAAGTACAATACTAATTCTTTGATTAAATATAGGATGTCATTACATGGTGCACCCAAGGGTATTTGTTTGCTCATTTGATGATAAAATGAGCAAACAATACCCAGATGTATATAACACTTTTTATAGTCTGTTGCTTGATAATTATTTGAACATAAAACATGGGCCATTTCGGTTTTGGAAAGATAAAATTTCCTCATAATTGTACAAGTCCTTTCAGCGTATTTTAGAAGGATATTTACATAGCGTCACCAAGGAAATAAACATCTAAGGTCATTTACATATTCAAACAAATAAAATGATCGCTTATATACCGTTTGAGAGTCTTATCACATGAAATTAAGATGTGATAATCTATAAAAACTATGAACAAACTATGTACATGGAAAATGCATGTGGGACTAGGGTAATTTACTTCCAACAAGTTCTAGAGTTGGATTTTCGTGTAAAGGTCTTCAAGAGCAGCATACAAAGGCTCTGCAGCCTTCGGTTTATCCACCGTCCCAATCAAGATATCAGCTGCTGTAAGATAAGGGTCACCATAAAAGCGTAGATTTGCGTCTATCCTTGTTGAGACAATATTCCCTTCCAGGGATACTCCCACAAACGCCCCTGTAACATCCAATAATAACCCAAAGCTATCACATTCCATATTCATGGTAAAATTTAAATTTTGCCCACTCTTCTAGGGAAATGGCTAAATAATATAATTAACCGTCCAAAGGCCAAAAGATGAAAAGTTCTGAAAGTTTCCCTTTTAAGGAAAATAAAACATCAAAGGGTCGCATGTGTGAACCATGCATTAATGAAAATCCAAAAATCAGCTCAAGCCCTAGCCACCTGACTATATTCTAAGAATCAGTTTTAGTCAGATTATTAGTAGGAATCAGTTCAGTAGAACATTCAGGTGAAGAAAACGACGCCTTACTCATTATTTGGTCAACCGAAGAGAAAAGGATCTAGTGGAAGCATAAATAATATTGGTGATTACTTAGTATCAAAGTCTTCAATAATGTTTCCTAGATGCATAAATAATGTTTGATTTTGTTGAATCTGTTTTTATTATCTTTAATTGTCAATTATAGATGTTGTATGGCTTTCATTAATGAAATATAATGTCCTTTAGGACTTCTTTCAAAAAAAAAATTATGTTTCCTAGATGCATCATGAATTAGTGCTCTAGGATTTCCAGTTCGAACCAATACTTTAAGGTTTACATCATGAATTGAAAAACCATACCTTTGCTACAACTATAAGAGTAGCACATGCCAGATCCTCTATCCCCAGCTCGAAGATCTGCTTCAAGCACTCTTCCAACTGGACCGGCTGCAGCACTACAGCCAGCCCCGAGAGAAAAGTGCATGCGACTACAGAATGTCTTCACAGCTTTGTAATCATGAAGCACAATTATAAAATCTGTTAGCTCACCTCCAATCTGTTGACCAAAATAATAGGATTAAAATCATTACAAATAAAGAACTGGAATGACAGTAAAAATCACATAGTATAAAAACTATACTATCATGATATCATCAGCCAAAAGTATAACATCCTTGTCATAAGAAACTATGCCCAGCCTCAGCAGCATTACCAATTTTCCCAAATCAAACAGTAAACATTATTCAACTCTGAAGTCAAAACAATTTGGCATACAAGTTTGTCATGGAAATCAAACATAGGCATCCACTTTTGCAATTGATTTCTTACAAAGCAGCAAATGCTGAGATATGAACCTCATAATTGGAAGCAAAGTGGAAAAACCTAATAAGTCAGTTTCCTAGCAAAAATGCAGGCATGTCAAGGTTTCTCCAACTAATCACGATTTTCCATTTACACAATCAGTTGCATATTGAATATCACAATTTTAAAAACAGGACATTAAACAGAAATCAAAGGCTTGCAAATCAAGCAGCTATGGGATTCAAAGATACATGATCCTCAAATACACTCGTAAGATTTCCACAGCTTCACTGAGATGTTTAGAGCCCTGAGAGTGATGTAGTTGCATGAAAATAAAAAAAAAAAAACACCAAGTGGTTCCTATTTTATAATCATACATCATTCTGATCAAACTTATATCAGAATAAGCCTTAAATTTATCCAAAATATGACATTATGACAGCTACTCACACCAAACAACAGCAATTATCCCTACCTGAACACCCCATCCCAGGCCAACTGAAGCAATTGCAGACGGAGCAGACCATGTTCCATCCATTCTTCGAGCAACTACTAGACCAGTGCCCATCTTATAAGCAACTACAGCACCCATTTTGGCAACAGTTAAAATTGCCAGGCCTTTAGCTCCTTTAAGAATTGCTGAAGGTATAGATCTCTCAGGATTCAATCTTGAAACCTGCACAGCTCGGTATAATTACAACAAAGTTAGATTATAACTGCATTGATTAATGCCATTAAATAAGAAATAAATATAAGTGACTAGAGGAACGAACTTAAAAATAAAAGAATAGATGAATATTTAGGACATTGGATAAGGACAGGGCAGTTGCCCAGTGAAACTATTAGAATATAGAACGCAATTAACAGATCTGCGGATTGACAATGATAAGGCTCCTCAAACAGCAAAATGACCAAAATGTCTACAAATATAAAAGTCTGATGTTAACCATAAATTATATCAAAATTAAACTCATAAAAAATTTCATGTCACAAGACACTAGAAAGTAGAAACTAGACAACAAGTGTAGAGACCATCCATCATTATAATTTCCCAAATCTCCACATTGTTGAAATATATAATAATGATGACATCTCAGTAAGATGCTTATGCTGACAGCCTGACACTAACTGGATCTACATAGGTTTAATAGCCTGAATATACACACCCTCACTCCTAGCTGATCAAACTAAAGTAATACGGAGTAGTTGACATCCATTCACAGTATGCAAGGAATCATACTAGGCAACCTGTACTGCTCACTTATTCTAGGAGGCTAGGTAAAAAGAGAAATGGCACCATACAGTGATTGCATGAAACGGTTACATGGGTAGTACCGTGGTAGTGGGGTAAGGTTGTTAGAAGTTTGTTAGAGGAGAGAGAAGCTCCTAGAGAAATGAAAAAAGGAATCAGTGAGCAGTATTATAAATAGGGAAAGAAGAAGGTGGAAAAAAAAACATTCAGAAAAACTGGAATTTTTATGCTTAATTGGGAGGTTACTCAGTCCTCGAATTGTGATAATTTGTAATTGTTTGGTTACTCTGAACATTCAATATAAGCTTTTATCTTCTTCTCTATTACTGTTATTAATTTCAGCCTCACAATATTCTGTGTTTGACCATCAAATTGTGAGGAAAATTCAACTTGATTCTAGCACACTAGTTCCAGATCAGCATACCGATAAACAATACGCCAGACTTAATCCCTCAGTAGACACTTTTCACAGTTTCCACTTTCCAGAAACAAGAAGCCAGTAAGCATCCAGCCATTACCAAGGTCTTGCAAGGGGAAAGTTGAAAATAAAATAATACTTAACATCCCCCAGGCCATTATAGTTTGTTATGACATCTACAGTGTCAGCCACTAATATTTTACAGGATAACATATGCAAGTACCTAGTTATATAAATCTATCATACATAAAACTAATACTCATCAGGTAAACGCAATATACATCCCCAAACTATGAAAGCATGCAGTGGGGATCTAGTCACTGAAAAAATGTAACTTTCATCAGGGTAAAAGCAATATACTTCCCTTATATATGAAAGCATACAGTAGGAATCTAGTCACTGAAAAAAATGTGTATTATAAGACCATTTTGGTACCTGACTGTAACTCCTCAGTGTGACAGATGCTTTGTAAATCTCATGCTCCATAGATAGACCAACAGGAAGATTCAACCAACCTCTAGCACACGTCCAATCCGACACATCGTGCTTTGCGACCTGTACAGCATTGCTGATGGTGTTCACTAGTACCCCTTGCAAAGGATCTAGCCTGTCATAGCAGGCATCACAAACTCTCTGTGGGTTCCGTTCCCTAAATTTAACAGGAAGCAAGCACCTCCCTGTTGAGCATACCCGACAAAATATACCCCCACAAAAACGGCAGTGATGTCGGCCACGAGTAAGTGCAGTAAATGGAGCAGTACACTGCATGCAAACTGTAGTACAGCTATCTGGCAGCCACTCTGGAGGTTCAGCTTCTAAAACATCTTTATAGGCACTATAGTTGAACCCATTAGCCTCAAGAAGTGGTGGAGCACTGGGAATATAAACTGATGAGTTCAAGACTGTATCACCATTCTTTCCAGATCCCAGGAAAGAAACATTAGAAGTGGGAAGCTGTTGGATGTCACCACCCTTGTTCCTTCCAGTTACAATAGCAAATATCCCAGCCAAAACATTTTTCAAGTTCACATCTGGGTTTCTATTAAATTGTGAGAAATTTGGAGGCTCCTCACTTGAATCGTAGCCCCCATCACTATAATCTTCAGAGTCACCAATGTATGGATATAAAGCACCCTTTACAAACTGTGATCCTGAAGGACAGGTGTCATTTTCTGACATAGGCCACGCAGAATCAACATAGTCATCATCATCATAGTGAACTTTTTTCTCTTCCCTTCCCACATTATTCAGTGACGCATATGAAACACTTTTTCCAGACATCGCCATACACTATGCCCACATAAGGATTGATCAGACAAGCAAATTCTTGGTGTTATAACTTATAAGCCTAAACACAGAGAGAACCCACCAAAAGCATTAAAAAAAATATTAAAGTACATATCACGATAGGCTTGCTTAGATTGAACTCTCAAAACCAGAACAAAGAAAGATAAGGGAATAAGGGCTGAAGCAATATGCAATGACAAAAGGAGCTCTGCATCAAGCTATGAAAAGTGTTGCATTCTATTTCTCATCTAAATACTATTCTAAAGTAAAGTCCACAAAATCAAGTTTTTCCTCCTAAATACATTAACTAATCTAGAATGAATAAATTATTGCATTAAAATTATTATCAAGGATCTCATTGTAAACTCAATTATAACTATTTATCAAAAATATACCCAATGTAAACATTTAATTTGTTGATAATGTCTTGGAAAAATTTAAATATATAAATTCATATTATATATTTCGTGTATATTAATTTTAAAAACAGACCATGGCTTAAAGGTATAAAGCAGAGAGAATTCAATGGAACAATACCAGTTTCTCGAAACTATATGGACTAGAGAATGACCCACTGAGGTTAAAAAGTCATAGATAAGTGCTTCTATAAAGAGCATGATCAATGCAAGGCTTTCCCAACTCTACCCTCTCCTTTCCTCATTCCTCCAACTAATTCTCTCTTTCCTCCATCTCATTTTCCACCAGCTTTCCCAACTATTTATCTGATTATTTCTCCTAACTTTATAAATACTCCACCATATAATCTCTCTACTACCCAGCTATTAAATAATTGAAGGAAATCAAAAACTCAATTCAAAGAAATAAACTATTTGAAACCCCCATTGATTTAATGTTTTACTTTCTTGCCCAACTCTCTCTTGCTAATTTATCATCTTCCATTTGCAAACGATGCTAACAGATTCAACAACTGATGTTCATTCACATTCAAATAATGTTAACACAATCGGAAAAAACTGGTTCGACAAGAAAAGGATTGCTCCACATACTGCTCTCAAGTTGCAAACTACAGTATATGCAATAAGCACGGTTTTATTTTTAAGTCACGCCAAGTCTCTAACAACTCTAAAACTTAAAAACCCTTTGGTTTCCTATGTTCAAGCAAACGAAACTGAATATTGATTACTTCATCACTAGTTTGGTTCACAGCAAGCTATTAACCCATTCTTACTACTCTAGATTTCTACCCTATTCTACCTTAGAGAATCAAATTCCATAAACAACGAACAATGCAACCCTTTTCCATGTAAACATACCACAAAATTAATACAGAAATTCAGAAAAATCACACCTTTAAAGGATCTTTTTGCCAAATTCTCAAAAAAAAAATATATCTTATGATCAATAATAAAGAGGCCCGTTTTCATAGTTATGTTCTAACATTAATGAATTATATAAAAAAAAAGCCTGCAACACATTAGCAAATAAATTTGACTCAATCATCAAATTAAGCTCAAAAAATCACATAAATTCTTTTTGCATAAGAATACCAACGCAAAGTATAAGTAGCACATTCTAGCAACAAAATCGCTCATTATAATCTTTAATAAATCCAGTAATTATAACCAATTGTTCAATAATCCACCTTAGAAGAACCCTAAAATTGACTATAACTAACAATTAAATCATCGAAAAACCCAAGATAGTGAAATTGATATTTGATGATTCAAAAATAAATTAAAAATCTCACCTCAGAATCTGCTTTAACGGAGGAGAGAAAGCTCAGAGTACGTTTCGATGGAGGAGATGGGAAAAACAGGGGGTTTGCGTAAAATTGATAAGCTCCGAAAGGGCAAAATATTGTATTCACGAGAAGAAGATTATATTTTGAAGGAAACATAAGGAAGATTGGAAGATTAATCAAACTAACACGCATACAATGTAAACCATCAGATTAGAAAATATCAACCGTCATGGTTTTTTTTTTTATTTATTTATTTATTTTTTTACACCAAATGCCACTAAACACTCTAATAATTCACCAAATGTCATCAAAGTTTTCAAAATTCACCAAATGTCATTAAGTTTTTAAAAAATTCACCGAGTGCTATTAATGACTAACGACCGTTAACTTTGTAGTCATTAGGATTAAATCGTGACACATGTCATGATATGATTAGTTCATTTTAATCATTTATTTTAATTAATAAAATAAGATTTTTTCTCGATTTTCGTAACGAAAATTGTTCGGGTAAAGTTTTAGGGGTTATTTTGACCCTTTATGGGTTCAAATTAAGCTCGAAATTAGCAAAAAGTAAAATGCCCCGTTTTGTGTGTCGAAAAATATCTCGATTAGCGAATCATTATTTTTTAACCATGAAAATTGATCGAGTAAGGTTTACGAGGTTATTTTGATCTTTTATGGTTTCAAATTAAGCTCGGAATTGGCAAAAAAATAACGTAAATGCCATGTTTTGCATGTCAAGAAATATCTCGATTAGTGTGTCTCTTTTTTAACCATTAAAATTGACTGGGTAAGGTTTTGGGGATCATTTTGACCTTTTAAGTGTCTAATTTAAGCTCATATTCGGCAAAAAATTAACGTAAATGCCCCGTTTTGAAATCTTTTACAGTAAAAAAAATTACGATCTTAACACGCAAAATAAGGCATTTACATTATTTTTTGGCCAATTCCGAGCTTATTTTGGATCCATATAGGACCCAATGACCACTTAAACCTTACCTAGACAATTTACATGGTTAAAAAAAAACGACACGCAAATTGAGATAATTCTCAATACACAAAACGGGGCATTTATGTTATTTTTTTTGCTAAATCCGAGCTTAATTTGAATCCATAAAGGGTCAAAATGACCTACAAAACCTTACCCGATCAATTTTCATGTTTAAAAAATAATGACCCGTTAATCAAGATATTTTTCGACACACGAAACGGCGCATTTACATTATATTTTTGCTAATTCCGAGCTTAATTTGATAATTCCATAAAGGATCAAAATAACCCCCATAACTTTACCCGAACAATTTTCGTCATGAAAATCGAGAAAAAAAGTTATTTTTATTAATTAAAATAAATGATTAAAATGAATCAATTATATCATGACACGTATCATGATTTAATCCTAATGACTAACGGAGTTAACGACCATTAGTCATTAATGGCACTCGGTAAATTTTTTAAAAACTCGGTGGTATTTGCTGAATTTTAAAAACCTTGATGACATTTGGTGAATTATTAAAGTGCTCAGTGACATTTGGTGAAATAACCGTTTTTTTTTTTTGTTTTTCTTAAGTCAATTTTTTGAGGAGCCCCAATTTATCTTTGATGATACTAGTTAGAGCGGCTTGCCCTTTCTTGCTTTTATTGGGTTGTGTTTTATCTGTTTAAGACGTTGGTTTTTTTGGGATGATAATTTTGTAAATTAATGGATTGTGTGATGCTGTTTTTATGAATGGTATAACATATGACAACAAAAATTGTAATTTAAAGCTGTAATGAGCTGGTATAGCCGTATAGTGACTAACCCTGGGCGCCGTGCCGGGCCGTGCCGCCGCGGGCCGTGCCTGGCGGGCCACGGGCCGGTTCGTGCCGTGCCGATCGTGCCGCCGTGCCCAAAACCTCGTGCCGTGTCGTGCCGGCCATTTTCACAGGCCAGCCCACGGCACGGCACGGCCTTCGTGCCTGGCGGGCTCGTGCCGTGCCGGCCACGTGCCGGCCTGCGGGCTGGTGATTTTTTTTTTTTTTTTTTTTTTTTTTTTTGACAACATTATAAATTAATAAGTTTATAATGTATATAAGTTATAAAATTATAATTATAAGTTTTATAAGGTTATAACTTATAAGTTATAAGTTATTAAGTTATGAATTTTATAATTATAAGTTGAATATTTATGTTTTATAATTTGTATATTCAATATTTATATTTATATATTTACTTTATACTATTACTTTAAAATTTAATGTTTATGATTTATTAGTAATTGGTATAATTTTTTTTTTTTTAATATGAATTTACAAATTGTAACAAAACGGGGAAAAAAGGCAAATTGGACTTTGGATGTGAATAATGCGTACTTTATATTATTATTACTTGAGTTGAGAAAATTGTACAATGATAACAATGATAAAAATCATACAATGATGGTATTAAACAAAAATTGGAAAATGATAAAATTGATATTTTTAAAATCGTACAATATACAATAATTGTCTATTCTTCTTCTCCTTCTTCTTGGTCGTCTTCGTCTTCGTCTTCGCCTTCAAGGTCATCGGCTAGTTGCATAGATTGGGAACTAGACGAACCCGAACCGGAAGCGGAGGTTCCTTCTTCGTTGTCGTTGTGGTCGTAAGAACGGTCTTGTGAGCGATTTTCCGCATCCAACCAATCTTTGAAACACACGCACATTTCTAGTGTTTCGGGTTTTAGACTTGTTCTTCTATCGTCTAAAACCCTTCCGGATGCGCTGAAAGCTCGTTCGGAGGCGACGGAGGAAACTTGGATAGCAAGAATGTCTCGTGCCATTGCCGCCAAAGTTGGATGCTTCGAGCTTTGTTGTTTCCACCATGCAAGGAGGTCGAGGCTGTTTATCTCATCGTCGTCCATGCCTTTGGTGAAGTCGTAACTCAGGTACATCTGCAACTCCGAGACGTCGCTTTGCGTTCTCCTGATTGATGATTCACCTGAAAACCTTGAAATCAAGTTAGTAGCTTGTGAAAATAAATGTTTGGCCTTCTTACTTACGTTTTTGGATGGTTGGGAAGGCCCTGAGCGAGGAACGGTGCCATATTTGGCTTCATAGACTCTATATAAAGCAAAAAACTGATCCTTCACATTAGTCTTATAGTTTTCTACATCATCGTCAAGAACCATGCATTGAAAGTAAATGTCAACTAACATAAATGTGTTTTCATACTTTTGCCTAGGATCTAATATGGAAGCAAAAATATAAATCAAAGGAATCTCACTATAATATTTACGCCACTTTTTTTCCATTGCTGGAAGATACTGATCATAATCACTTTGATGGCGATGATCAGCGAAAAGTTGGGCGAGTAAGCATGCATTAGAAAGAAAGTTTTGAGCACAAGGATTGTAAACAGTAGAAAAACAATACGTCATGTTATATAATAACTGTAAAAATTGCATATATCTTTCACAGTTATTCCAATCATCATCATACAAAGCATTTTGTGGAAATTTTTGGTTGTAAAATAATGTTAACGGGCCCTTGTACTCAATTGCCTTTGTTAACATGTCATAGGTGGAATTCCACCTAGTTGGGCAATCGGTTCTAATTTTTATTACCCTTATCTTTTGTTGTTTTAGAAAACTCTTCCATTCTTGGTATCTCATGTTAGAGCTATTAATAGACATAATAGCATCTCTGATTTTGCTGTAGTATGGGCCAATTGCCCGAACTCCATCCTGTACACATAAGTTAAGTACATGGCAAACACATCTAGTATGAAGAGCTTCACCGTCTAATAGTACATCGGTTAAGTTTTGTTTGATAAGATTAGCTGTGTATGTCATAGAGGTTGCATTATCAAAAGTCATAGACATCATTTTATCTCGAAGGTTGTATTCGTCTATTGCTTGCATTAAATGGTGAGCAATGTTAATGCCGGTGTGTGGGTATTCCAGCATTTTGAAATGTATTATTCTTTTTTGTAACATCCATTGATCATCTACCCAATGGCAAGTCACACATAAATAGTGATATTTATAACCACTATCCCAAGAATCGGCTGTTAAAGATACTCTACAGTTAAGGTTACTCAATTCGGCTTGTAACCGGACTTTGTACTCTAGGAAATTTTTCATTGCGGCGGAACAAACGGTTTTCCTAGAGATTCTTTTATGTTGGGGTTGTAGTGCTTTGTTAATGTAGGTGTTGAATGCGTCACTTTCCGAGAAAAGAAAAGGTTGTTCGGCGTGTACTATCATTTTTCCTAGTTCATCCCTATCCCTCTCATAGTTGTATGTAAAGCCGTATGGATGGAATTGGGAAATTTTGGGCTGGGTTGGATCACTAGCTGGTTTTGCACAAGCTTTCATGTGTCTAGATAAGTGTCCCGTCCCGTTTTTGGTAACTGTCGTGAATACACTATTACATGTTTTACATTTTGCCCATTGTTCACCATCTTTACTTAGGACAAAATAACGCCATACCTCACTCCTTCGGTTTTTCAAAAGTAGCATCTCAGTTTCGGTTAACCATTCATGATGTGTGTGATGGTTAGTAGTGGGACTAGTGGGAGTGGCAGTATAAGGGGTAGAACCGGAGGGAATTCGGGTACTTTCTTGGCTACCTTGGCTAGAACTATAATTAGGTGGAAATTGGTATGGTGGTAGTGGAAATTGGTTTAGTGGTGGTGTTGGCTCATAGCCCGGGGGGAAGTAAATGGGGTCATTGGTTTGACTCGTAATTTGGGGGGTCGTTGTATTTGGTGGTTCCCTAGAACTACTACTACGGATAAGTCGGCCTTTCCCCCTAGACCTAGATGAATCAGATGATGGGTTGTTCGATGCCATAATTAACAATTAATTTTTTAATAAAAAGTGGTTAACTATAATAATAATAATTAATAACAACAATTTTAACAATAAAAATATCAATAATAATAATTAATAACAACAACTATAACAATAACAATAACAACAAAAATAAATAATAACAACAATTGTAACAATAATAATAATTAATAACAACAATTATAACAACAACAATAACAATTAACAACAATAATAATTAAACAAGATTATTCTAATAATAACAATAAAACAATAATAAATTTAAGATTAGTTTAGATCTTACAACCGTGCTTCAACGCTCCACTAATTACGATTACGAACTTTTTAATTTTTTCCGATATTAGGAAAATAATTAGAGAATTTAAGAGAATAATTAGAGAATTTAAGAAAATAAGGATTATTAGAGATTTAGAGAATATAAGAGATAAGAAGAAGAGATTGTGATTTTGTGATTTGGGAATGAAATGGAGGTGGGTATTTATAGAATTTTTAGGGAAAAATATAGCCGTTAAGTAGCCGTTTTTTTGGCTAATTATGCAACTAGCCGTTGCTTTAAAACGGTAACATTACCGTTGGCCCGCGGGCCGTGCCGGGCCGTGCCTGCGGGTCGGCACGACGGGCCAGCACGGCGGGCCATGGCCGTGCTCGTGCCGGGCCGTGCCCAAGATTTCGTAACCCTGTCCGTGGCACGGCCCGTGGCACGGGCGTTGAACTTCGTGCCGTGCCGTGCTTGACTTCGGGCCGTGCCGGGCTGCGTCGAACATCGGGCCGTGCCGGGCGGCACGCGGGCCACCCCGGCCCGTGCCCAGGTTTAATAGTGACCATCATACTGGAGTTGTGCAATGAGCTTAACATTGAGCTTACAAAAGGTGTTGCTGTATAACAGCCTAGTACTACGAAATACATAGATATATAATGTTTTGGAAGAAGTGTCGTTTTAGGACACATGGTTTGATTTTTTTCTGCCAGTACTAAATAAGTTTAAATATATAGCTAAGGAAAAGGTGTCGTTAAGGACACACAGTTGGTTTTTGTTTTTTGTTTTAGCCTTTGCGTGTTTAGTCGAAGGAAATGTCTTTGAGAGCCCGTTTGAGGGACCGGATTCTGGTGAGAGAAGTTGTTGGTGCAATTTGGAAATGTATGGCCTGAATTGGTCCTCAAGTTGGTAGCTATTTCTTCAAATTCCAGCCAATCACCCTGTCCAACAATGCAGATAACGCGTTAGTTGAGTATTAATTTCATGATTTGATTATTTCATCTGTTGTTTATGTTTGGGTAGATGGTCATCTAATGTGTATAAGAAGGCGATATATAGACGCTACATGATATTCAAGTTGTTGGTTCTTTAGTATATATTATAGAAATTGTTGCCTTTTTTTTTCTGTTCTTACCGCCATTTTCTTCTCATATATCTCTGAAGTAGGGAGACCAATGAGCTTTTCGCAGTCTTCAGCAAAAGCAGTGAGTCTTAGAGTCCCAGTGGCGTTAGTCACATTGACTGTGAAATTAACCCTGTGTTTAAAGGGACATTAGTATTTTGATAATTGTAGTTGTGGAATAGGTTTGATTAAAATAGAGTCTAACCTGACTGTAGCAATACATTTGTTTTTTGAGCAATGCAGGCATTTGAAAGATGTGTCCCTAGCTTCTTGGCAACGCTTTCCACACTTGTTACATCCTAGGTAAGCAATCAGGTTAGCCAACTCAGCATTAGGGATAGTGGCTTGTATCCAATGACGTTCTTCTTGCATTGTGTTTCCAGCCTACAAGGTTTAAAAAATCCAGCATTATTGGTTAATAGATAAGGATTGGTTATCTATGGGTGTGGGGGGATGTTGTTATTACATTTTCCTGCTCAATTTCGCTGATAGTTTTGACTGTTGTTGTTCTTGATGGTGTTCTGATGTGCAGTATCTTTGTAGCCTCGTCAAGAAGCATTGCTTGTTTTTCTTTCATCCTAGGAAGTAAAAAACGACAAATTAGTACAGATGATTAGCATTACATAATGTAAGTGCAGTGTGAATTTCATTGCTTACCATGTTCGAAGAGCATGTGCTTCCTCCCCAGTAGGATCTGAGATGATAGTAGTTGACTTTGAGCTTGCAAGGGAGAACCCTACATGTTTAAAGGTTGGGAATTATGCATTGTATTGAGGTATGGTATAGATTTGAGGAAGAAAGCATAGGCTACCTTTATATGTGGTTGGACGTAAGTGTGTGAAGGCTGCAACTATTGGGCTTAGCACCCAACCTGCAAGCTTCTCAGTGTCAATAACAGCAAGGCTTCCCCAAATTGAGATGGTCAATGGATGTTCAGTGCTGTTTATGATCGCATATTGAGTGAGGCAGAGTTATGCAATTTGGTAGAAATGGTGGAATATATTGTTACGTTAGGTTATTATTGTAATTGGATATGCACCTTTGGTCAGTGGCTATGATTTCGCGAACATTCATCAAGTTTCCTCCTGATGTTGGTACTTTCCCGACCTCCTCTATGTAAAGGACAACAACAAGCAAATCTATGTGACGAACTATATACGGTCAGTGACTGGTACATAAAGTGTAGTTACTAATTAAGTTGAAGTGGGTTGGCACTGTACTTACCGAAGCGTTCATTCTTAAAGCTGGTCCTTGGAATTGAGTTGATGGAGATGTAATTTGGGACCTGCAGTTGGGTCAACTGGTTCGATGATCGTTTGTCCTCCGAAAATCATCTGGCAATCATTTTCTCGTTTTTGGTACTTTGGTTATATTGGTTTGAGTGGAGCATTTGCGATCTCATATTCTTTCCCTAGTTGTAGGACGTCCTTGAAGGTGTATTTCATCACCAAAAAGAGTACCTCCAAGATGGTTACCCTGCACAAATTACAGTGGTGTTAAGTGAATTGTTGTAGTACATACATTTATTGCAAAAATGAGGGGCAGACAACTCCATGGGTTTAGTAGACAGCGATTGGCCCACATTTATTGCAGCACCAGCTAAAAGCAGTAATAAATAAACATTTAGTCGAAACAATTTTTAAAAAAACTCAGAGAAATGGGTAGCTTATTATTTAGAGACATTCACCTGTCTTTGATTGCTTTTGGTGTTTAGGTTTTGGAATCCCCAAAATCACCCGTTGTCGAGAGCTCATTCTTGTCTTTGATATTGTAGGATATTCTGGGAAATCTGCTACAATAGGAAACACCCTTATTTAAGTAATGCGAAGTTTTTCATTTTTAAAAAAAATGAGAATTCGTTGGAAAAAAAAAAACATTGTGCATACCCATCACATATAGAAATATATTTTATGCCTCGGGTTGTAGGAGGGACCCCTTAAATACACCCCAACAAGGTCTTTTCGTTTTTTTCCTGTACATTAGCCAATTGTTTACAACTTTTCCTCAGGAAAACATTTGTACAATTATAATGTAAAATGTAAGGTTCCAAGTGTCCATACTGTTGTATCAAATTCTGTGATCTTCCATGATAGGTTTAAATTTACTAAACTCCAAAGAATAATGCAAAATCAGAGACAAGTCAATCATGCCGTAAATTATTGTCATATGAACAAACTCCAAAACTAATCACTCTAACATATAGATGGTCCTTGCAGGAAAGGTTAGAAAAGTGTTTCTCACCAACAATCAAGATGTGCTGATTAATTAAATGTTGATTACTGAACCCTACCCATGATAACAACTCCCTTAAAACCTTGATTTAAGCATTTGAGGTATAGACAACAGAATATCACTTTCAGAGGACAAAGAGGTGTTCACTTTCAGGGGAATGCACTGTTACTTTAAGTCTAGACAAGCTACTGATATAAAGGCTCAGTTGCTGGACAAGTAAAAAGAGAACCAACTCGAGTAAAGTAAGTTATTACACGGAAAAGGCAAACCTGATGCTTGTAAATAGCTCCGATTTGTCTGTAAACCACTCTGTTGTAGCCTCTTTGTCCTTTTAACCCTTGATAATTCCCTTGAATCCCTTCTTGCTTTCTTCCTCTTTTCACCGTAGTTATTTTGTACTCCTGCATTAACAACCTTTTGGTTGTCCAGTAGGCAGTAACTAATGTTGTCATGCCTGTCAAAAAAACAAAAAAAAACTAATGTTGTCATGGAATTAAACCATAACCCCCATTAAAAATCAAACATTTTAAACTTCATTATTCTATTTCCCATTTAATTACTAATTAATTGAGTAGACCTTTCAAATTCATCCATCTAATGGAGTCACCAATCAGATATATTAGAATTAGAAATTAATAGTAACTAAAAACTTGTAGATATAATCAACTCATTTGTACATTTAAAATGTGATGCTCTTAAAATTGTACTCATACTATAATCCTTGAATGAAGCAATTCTATCCAATTTTTTTTTAACTCCCTCTCTTTTTCTTGAACAAATAATATACTTCACACATTAGATGAGTTGTATTTTAAACCCACCACACTGACATTGGTGCACCAACAGAGTCCTCACAAAGAACTTATGACATAAAGAACATAAACTCACCAAATTGATGTTGTCAGTTTCACGAGTCCTCGGTATATAATGATGTGTTTTTTTAAAAAAAAAAAATTGAGAAAGAATAATGATGTGCTTTTGATGAATGATAACATAATTTTAATGATTTCCCTCTAAATAATTAATAATTTTCACATCAAAATAGGATTACAAACCATTTTCACAATCATAGTTCTCCGCTCAATGGGTATTTTTTTTTTTTTAATCAAATTCAACAAATTTTTTTCACAACCATAGAATTTATACTCACAAATTTCCAAAATTCAGAATTAAATGGGTATTTTTTTTTAATCAAATTCAACAATTTTTTTTCACAACCATCAAATGTATACTCACAAATTTCCACAATTCAGAATTAACAATTGCCCAGATTTGACATTTTCAATTCTAAACTAAAAAGAACAACTTATTAGGAGTAATACTTCACATTAACAATACTAAACTAACCCTTGGCCACAATTCAGAACTAATACTTTGTTAATGCAGGAGTACACACCTTATATTTTTGCTCTGTACAGAGAGGAGAGAGAAAGAGTTGCCGGAGGCGCCGGTGACCCACCCCCCATAAACTCCGGCCGCCATCTTCACCGCCTCCCCCTCGACAGGCGCCTGTGATTTCCTAGCCCCCTCCTCAGCGTGGTCGTCACCAGCCCATGGACTACGAAATGTTTCTTTGTTGTCATTTCTTGTATCAAATTTTCTTGGCCCCAATTTGATTTGTACTGTTCTTTATTTAGGAATTTAGGGATTGTAAAATTTAGTACTTTAACAGAGCTTATAATTGATAGGTATTAACTTTTCTTGGCCCCAATTTGATTTGTACTGTTCTTCATTTGGGAATTTAGGGATTGTAAAATTTAGTACTTCAATGGAGGTGGTGAGAAGAGAGAGAATTTAAAAAGTGCTCAAGGGGAACTTGTACTTGTTTAATGAAGCAATCATGATCCAAACTAAGCTTCCAGGCTAAAACGCTGTTTCGGTCAGTGTTTTATGCCTGGTTTTTTTTTAAAATAAAAAAATGGGACAGCGTTTTTAAGTATTGACTTTTTTTTTTTAAGTTTCCTTTTTATTTCAGTAATTGTAAAAATTTTATAAATATAAAAGACATAAAACGCTGTCCCAGACAGCGTTTTATGTACAAACTTTGTTGTACCTAAAACGCTGTCTCAGCCAGCGTCTTATGTTCAACATAAAACGCTGTCTAGGACAGCGTTTCTCTGCTGGTCTGCAATACAGCAGCAGAATCAGCCTTTTGCCACTTTCTTCTGCCCCACTTTCTTCTGATCTGCCACTTTCTTCTGCCCCCACCCACTACCCCCTGCCATGATTTAGCCACCATAGTCCACCACCAACCCCCACCGTCGACCACCATCTTCCACCACTTTTGACCTCCAACAACACTTCAACCACCTCCACCACCAACCCCAACCATTCAACAACCGTCGATAACCACCCACCACAACCAACAACACTAAAACCACCATGAACAACCACATTAACCACCACGGGCCATCCTTTCTTACCCATTTTCGACTATGGATTCCAAATGTCTGTTGTTTAATATACATTAGCCCAAAAGGATCTATTTTGACTGACATAAATCCGATTTGGATAAATAAGCAAACAAAACTTCAAAACACAAACAGATTCATTCAACCAGCATGTCTTATATTAATAATGCAATCGTTATATACAGCATTCCTGGAAATGTTTGTGTAGAACAAAACAATGATACAATACAATCACTACTCATCAATTTGGTTTAACCCTTCCCTAGCCTCACTGTCGTCCCTTCGTCTTGGACGACGCCGACTGTAATGGTAAATGGTGGTGAATGGGTTCCGGCGCGGTGGGGGAGTGAGCTGGCTGGACGATGCGTCCTCCTGGGTTCTGAAGGGTGCAGAACTGTGGAAGATGTACTCCTCTGCCTCTGTGTGCGACGTAGGATCACCTCCACTGCTACTCTGGCCGGGGTCGAACCGTGAATGGACGGAGTGACCATTATCACCGTCCCGCTGTTGGATGAGATAACCGTGACCATGTTTGTGTAAGGAAGTCACGGACATATCTCGCATCCGCTTGACCTGGGCTCTGGTGGGTCCGTTTGTAAGGACAAGGGACAGTGCATCATACGTCGCCATCATATCCGCCGCCTGCAGTAATCATCGATCAGTCAGTTACATGATATTAAAAAATGTTAAAAAAAATGAGGATGATAAGTAAAGTAAAAGAAACTCACATATCAGCTAATGACGTCATGTGTTGGGTGGTAATGTGTAGGGGTGAGCACAACCGGGTACCCGGTGAAAAACGAAGGAACTGAACTTGGAACTGGTTTGTACCGGGTCCTAGATTTTGGAACCAGACCCGGAACCGGTATAACCGGGTCCAGAATATTTAGAACTGGAACTGGAACTGGAACTGGAATTGGTGGTAACCGGTTCTAGAACCGGGTACCCGGTTACATATCCAAAGGAAAAATCAGATTTGATCGATAAACAGAAATTATATTTATTTAAAAAAAAAAAATCAAACCTAAAAGTATTATATGAAAATTGCAGAAAATAAAGATGAAAAAAAGTAGATCTGAGCATTTAGAGAATGTACAGTAGCAAACTCGAGTTGTATTACATAATCATGGCTTTTTCATAAATTTATTAGCCTGAAATCACACAAATCATCCCTAAAACTCAGAATAATAGAGTATGTAAGCTTGATTCATCTTTAATCTTCATCTGTTTTCGGCCTCTTCTTCACCACCTTCATCTTTTACCTCTTTCTATTGTACAAATAAAAATTAAGGATGGAAAAAAGTGGATTTAGATACAAGAATTTGGGAAAAAGATAAGAATGGAGTGATTAATTTAAGTTGGATGAAATAATCATCAAATTGGAGTTTGATGTTTGACGGATGAAAGTAGAAATTATGAGTGGTTTTTGCTGGGTGATGAAATGAAAAAAACATGAGTTAAAAAAAAAGTACTCCTTAAATATATGGTGACTAATTAGGTTAGAAATAAAGTGTGGGCTAGGAAATTATAAGGCCAAATAGATAATTATGCCCCATATATTCAGAGCAGGCCACGAATAACATATTTTTAAAGCAATGCAACCAGTTCTGGGTATCCGGTGGGTACCGGGTCCGTAAAATCAAGAACTGGAACTGGAACCAGTTATAACCGGTTCCTGATTTTTGGACCCGGACCCGGAACCGGTTGCACCAGTTCCAGTTCTGGACCCGGCGGGTCCTAACCAATTCCGGGTCCAAAACCGGGTACCCAATAATTTTGCTCACCCCTAGTAATGTGTGGACGGTGGTGTGTAGCTGGGGTTGATGAAACGGCGTGTGATAAGCCCGTACCACACCATGTACAACCCAGGAACCAAGACCAACTGGAAGTGTTTTCCCCTTCAACCACCGCAAATGCAATAGGAAATACTTGGAATCTTGCATCAACACTCGTAGCAACCAACAGTGTTCCTTTATACTTCCCGTACAAGTGCGTCCCATCGATACAGATAACAGGCATACAATGTTTAAAGCCATCGATACAAGGACCGAAGGCCCAAAACACTCGTTCAAACACTTCCATGTTGCTGTAGTATACACCGTCCACTAAAGCTTTGTGTTTCCATACGACACATGTTCCCGGGTTCGACCATAGGAGTGCTTGCATGAAGTGGGGAAGTCTGCCGTATGAATTCTCCCAATCACCAAATATCTCAGCTATAGCTTTCTCCTTGGCATACCACACTCGTCGATACGGGACATCGAAATGAAATTGCTTCAAGATCAGTTCCTGTATGAATTCCACTTTCAACGAAGGATCTTTCCGCACAAAGGACTTCACATACTCGGCTATTACGGACGAATCCAAGTGTGGGTGATCAGTAGATAGTATATCAGTGACACTTGTCTCCCGGTGCGGGCCTTTGTACGTGACTATGGTAAAACCACGCGAGTGCAGCCATATTCTACATAACCAAAACACATATTAACATAATTGAAATCTATAGCGAGGTCAAAAAAGTTGCCCACAAACTAGGCATTAACTCCGTTTATAAATTCTTAGTTTAGGATGCAACGCAAAACGATTACTAACAAACTACTATTTTAAACAATAAACTAATATGAAATGGTAGATAAATTATCAATAATGAAATAACCGTCTTCTCACCAATAATCTATAATTATCAAGAATTATATTTCACATTATACCATCACTAATTTTAACTATTTCACAAATAAGTACCACATTACCATCAACAATTTGATGAACAATTTCATCAACAATGTACCACATTACTATCAACAATTTCAACAATTTCATAAACAATTTCATCAACTATTTCAACAGTTGCATGAACAATTTCATCAACAAAGTACTACATTGCCATACAAAATTATCAAAATTTTTCCACATTTTCATAAATAATTAGCAAGAATCTTATACAATCTCAACAACTAATAGCAATTGTCAACATTACAATAGTTTGAACTTAGGGTTTACCAGGATTTTGAGTGGGTGAGTGAGGGAAATAGGGAAAGCAGCAACACCGTCTCGCGGCAGCAGCACCAGCGTCCGGTTGCAGCAACTGTGACGGCAGCGACGCTTCGAGGCCGGAGGTTCACCGTTGTGGGGGGGCAGCGACGCTTCTACGAAGGAGTGACAGTGAGAGTGAGAGTAAGTGAGAGTGAGAATGATAGCGAAAACAGCCTGCGAACAAACATAAAAAACGAAAGAGACGCTAACTGAGACAACGTTTCATTTAAAGGAAAAAAAACAACCTAAAACGCTGTCTTAGTCAGCGTTTATGTCTGTGTTTTTTTTTTCCTTACACTTTTATAAAAACTCAATTTCAAAACATCCAACTTTTATGTCGAACATAAGATGCTGTCTGAGACAACGTTTTAGGTACAACAAAGTATTTACAATTTCTGAAATAACAAAGAAACTTAAAAAAAAAAGTCAACACTTAGAACGCTGTCTGGGACAGCGTTTTTAAGTTGATTTTTTTTTAAAAAAAAAAAAAACCAGGCATAAAACGCTGACCGAGATAGCGTTTTAGCCTGGAAGCTTAGTTTGGTAAATACTTTTGCCACGCAACCATTTTGGTTAATATTTCCCAAAATTGGCTTACTTTGGAAAAAACGTCCATAATGATGAACAGAGATGAACACACATGGAGAGGAGAGAGAAATGCATATGTGTTGGCAGGAGAAGGTGTAAATTACTATGGGGGTAATAAGGTAAATAAACAATTTGAAGGGTATAAAGGTCCGAGCACTGTTCATAAGAACAATCTTCAGGTAGGGATACAAAAATCATTTATCAAATGACATTTAGGTAAATAAATCAACAAAATATCCCAGTTAGCATAACATTTTCGTTAATAAATCAACATTTATGGGACCCGTATTTAATAAAAGTTATTGACTTATTTACATAAATGCCACTAGATAAGTAATTATTTTTTGGTATCATAAAGATAAACTTGTATTTTCTCCGAAGCCTCTATTTCTTTTAATGTGCAACAACTTTTTTTTCTTTTTGGGAAGAGATTAATTTCTCCGTTTTTTTTTTATTGCATCACTTTGTAAATTAAGGACTCCTAGACAATTTTTTAAAGTGAGAGGGATAGGAAATAAAAAAATGACCCATGTAATAGGAGAAAGGTAAGAAGAGTTTATTAACTAAAAAAATAATGCAAGCTAATTTGAAACTTTTATTTTAGAAAAGTGATCCAACTAAAAGAAAACGGAAAAAGTACATTAAGTTACACCTTTTCTATCTCTGGCTGCAATTAAGCTACACCTTTTCTATCTCTGGCTGCAATACCATGGGCCTTCTTAGGCTTCTTAACTGTTATTTAGGGACTTAGCAAATAAATCTGTCTCTATATGATGTTGCTTTACGAATAAGTTCCACATGTCTTCTGATATTTGAGTCAAAACCTTCTGGACAATTGAGCACAGTGACTGCTTCAGCACAGCCAATTTGGATTCATTTATT